TTTAGGTCATCTACTAGGGCTGTGCAGATAGTCAGTTCAGAGAACTGAAGGCAATTTGTTAGCTTTGACAAATTGGTTTCCGAACTGAGTTTCAAAACAAGGCAAAGTGTTGAACTGAAACTGAACATATGTGAACTCAGGAAGGAGATTTAACAGGCTTTTGTGTTTACTTTTTCAGTTGAGGTTTGAATCAAATCCATTTGAAATTCCTAATGGATCTGAATTGGTTTGGGAATTCAACTTGGATCAAAACTGATTTGTACAACCCAGTCATCTATCCCTACCTTTGGTCAATGGGTTCTAACTTTAAGTGACTTTGTCCATCAAGAAATGTTTTGTTAAGCTAAAATTGCTCTTCTGTAATTTAAGCCCACTGGGTCTATCTGGTATCTTAGAGTCAACCCTTCAGCAATTTGAAGAGTCCTATTCTCTAGGCCAGTGTTTCTCAATCTTAGCAACTTTAAGATGTGTGGACTTCAACTCCCAGAATTTCCCAGCCAGCATGAAGTCCATAGCAGGAAAATTCTCCAGCCCAGTCACCATGACTTTCACTTCTTTAAAGGTAACATGAAAATCATTCCGTGGAACACCAGCTCCCCAAATCCGTTACTTAGAAAACAATAGCACAGAAGAAGCCAAGAATGTAACTAAAAGAGACATTTCTCTCCTACCATTGCTCATCCTGGTGTCCCTCTACACCTAATATCCATAATCAGCATGGTCAATCCAAACAGGCTGTGAATGATGGGAGACATCTTTGCTTAAAGTCTGGAGCAGCACTAGTATAATTCCAAATAGCAGTGGAAAAATTGAGATTGGTTTCTACCCATCCTTCCTGTCAACATGTTTGTTGAGGCACAGTCGCCAAAGATGAAGGGGATCTAAGGTTTAAGCCTTTTCCCATTAGCCAAAATACATCGGTGACTTTCAAAATGGTCCCAATCATTAACAGTAGCTATATTGGGGACCAGCAAAATTAAAAAGAAGAAAACCCACACCTATAGACTTTATTAGATAAAATGAAGGCTTATATTCGCAATTTTGAGTTTTCGGGAACTGTTCATCTAGCAAGAGAGTAGAACATCTTGAAACCAAGTTCACAGGAATGGATAATGGCTGACATTTGAGACATCTGTATGAAGTCATGTTCTTAGATGCAAGTCAAATATCAGGCATACAAACTCTGGGTACAGAAGACTTCTCCCAAAATCTACGGGGAAGAAAAAAGCAAACGATAGTTGAATCCAACCAGATGTCATTTTCTTTCATGGATTCCAACTTCACAGAGAAGTCTTGGAAACTCAAAAGTTTGCAACTTGGTTTTAAAAGGTCATTCATCTAATGAAAGTATTGTCTCTCTACATATACACATACTCACATATCTGTTATCCCCTTCCTTTTTGCGGTAAACAACGTTATACAGAGTGCCCCCATAAGTAAGAAATAGTAAGCCAAACAAACTGAAGGCATGCGATGAGAAAAAGGAAACGTAACTAAAATTAATTTCACTAAAATTTACGCCGAGAATTTATACCACTCCATACCTTTCCATCCTTGCTTCGTCTATGCTCATACACCATTTCACATATTGACTTTTATTCTTTAAGCTTCTCCCCTCTCTTTTTGAGGATCTTATCAATTTCACTAAGCCACAACTATTTCAGTCTCCCCTTCTTCTTGATCAACTCATTCTTCCTTCATGACTTCCTTTTACAATACAATCCTCATTTCCTCCCTCTTTATGACCAACCCACCTCAATGAACCACTTTTTTACTAATAATTCACTTTCTGCTAATAATATCAATCCATGTTTATCCAGCATCCATTCATTTTTGACCCTATCTCTTCTTGCTTCACAACACAATGCTTAAGCCCCCAATTCCCATTGCATACAACACATTCTTGTTTTTCCTGAGATCCCAAGCTCCCATAAAACAAATCTGGCACTCTTACATACTACCATTTTATTCTCAACGAACATTAATCCCTTGCAAGAGACGACTGCATTTGAATATCTTAAAATTCTTTCGTTTTTTCCAGCTTTTGTAACCGCTCTACAGGAGCACACAGATTCATCTATCTGCTCTAGTTTTTCCACCATTCATGCATAACTCAACATTGCTCACTTCATTTTCCTGTCTAACCCAGCTGTCTTGGTCCTTGATATATTAATTTTCGGATCCAACATGCAATCTACCTGACATTTGCTGCAAATCATTTGAGTCTCGAGTCAACGTGGCATCATCTGCATACAAAGATATATGAACATCCATGTCCCCAACCAACACATTTGTAACATCATTACAAACATTCCTTATACAGGACATTTATCTACAAATACATTAAACAACCAAGGGGACCTCTCACATTGTTCCCGAACCATTTAGTAAGCATGCCGTTTATTCTCTTGCAGCCATCCCATACTATTCTAATCATAGTGAGCAATCCTCTTAAACTCCATGTTTGCCCAACTTTCATTAGTTCATTACTAATTAGTGCAAGGCTAATTGCTTTATCGTGCATTTCTCTCCATCAACCAAGTACAATATGCTTATTTTCTCACTTTTCTTAGTTATCAGCTGAAGAACAAGAATTTAGTCTGCCCGGCTTCAGCCCAGCAAAAAGCCACAGTGCCCTTCCCAAATTTTATTCGTTGTAGTGATTTTGATCACGATTTTGACAAATGTTTTCCCAGGCACATGGAACAAACCCCCTCCCTAGTTTTCGCATTCAGTCTTGCCATTCCCTTTCTACCACAGCATTCTTCCAATTGTCAATCACAGATGTAGCCTTTACACCCCGACGTTCAACCCATCTCACCACCACTCTAGAAGCAAATCACATCCATTTGTGTTAACATTGCTCAAGTTACAGCATCACACCTCCAGCCTTACCATTTTTCAATATTTCCACGTCATTACTTTCTTGTCATCATTTTTTTCCTGAATGAACATTTACAGCATTCATTTCAATTTCACCCTTTGACATACCACTGTTTTGCTCAGACAGATCTCTAAAACCCTCCTTCTCAAATAATTCCATCAGGCTGAATGTTAATTTGATTCCCTCCATTCGAAGCTCCTCGTTCAACCTTCTTTGTCCACTTCAAAACAAATCACCTTGCACTTTTCGGCCTCTTTTAATACCACTTTTACTCCCCAGAACATTCTTTTTAGATCTATAAGAATGAAAGCAGAAGTAATCAGAAGAGGACTCACAACTGGTCCTTCGTTTGTGTCCAACTTCTTTCCATTTTGCCTCGTCCACCTTGTATTCTTTCTAGTCTTCCCGCAAACTGTCTTGTCTTATTTGGAAACATCACAACTATACTTAACAGTTGTGGATTCATGAACAACAGAAACATGTTCAAATAAAAATGGGATCAGTGTTTCTGGATAAGTTCTGGACAACTCATGGACATTATATCCATAACTAGGTCCTGCTACAAAATTATGGTCCTTCTGAGCCCAGAAATGAAAATTCATCAGGAAAGAACACATTGAAGTCACATCTTACACCTGTCTTCAGTCAAAGCCATTCAAAAGTGTTCTGAGCCCCAAAAAGGGCAGTTAATTTGGCACCAATGAAAGTACAATATATTTGTGTTTTACCACAGCTATGTACAGACCTTTGCTGTGATGCATAAGCCCCAGGGGTCTTGTAATGCTTAATGTGACAGACGGAATTATAAAATCAATGGAGAATGAATCAGCCAGGTGGATTTACTTAATTTAATTGAAATTAAATGTTGTTTTTTTTTCATTTGGCCGTGCCTGTTTTGAGATTGTCACCTCCAGTGTGCCACTCATTGACCCACCAGAACTCTGGCAACCCTCTGTGGGAGACTCTCCCCTACCTTCCTAGCCAAGAAAGAGGATGCCATGCCCGATTCTTGCGTAACCTTAAGTTGGCTTATTCTTTGCTTTGTGGGATGCATCTGAACCCACCCATGATGGTTTAGCATTATGTGCAAGCCAGGACTTTGGGATTATGTGTGTCACAGCCCTGCCCGATAACTTCTGCATGGATTGGCCCTCTGGTGACCTTCTTCCATTTGGTCCAGAGCAAAAGAGTGGCACTGTTGGCATTGACAGAACCCGGACCTCTGCTGCTATGGGATGGGAATGAACCAGGAAGTCCTACCATCTTCCACCACAGGGCTCAGAGTTGGGGGGAGCAGCTAGAGATGGCCCTGGCGGCTCCCCTTGGCAAAACGAGACTGCAGGCTTCAGGGGCAACACTTTTATTTACAAATATAATTAAAAGTGCTGACAATGATTGGGCTTTGGGCTTTGAGTCTGAAAAAAAAAAGTTGAGTTGTGCGTGAGTGCTTTTTAAAAGGCATGCAGAAGAAAAGGCCTTTTTTAAACCATTTTTATTGTAAGAAAATACACAGTTTGAAAGTGTGAATAATGCAATATTTATGACCAAGATTATTGGGGATGGGAAGAAAGGGAGTGTCAGGGGAGGGGAGCCAAGGTGGAGGAACGGGAAGAGGCAAGACAGGGGAGAGGAAGAGGAAAGGGTCAAGGTGATGTGATTTGATAGACAGTGTTGAACTCCAAAGATTGACTTGGAAAAAGAGGCTGAGGGGGAAGGGGGTCGGTGTGGCTTGGAATGGGATCGAGGGACGGGGAGGCAGGTAGTAAAAAAACTTCTGATCAGAGAAACAGTTAAAATACAATATGAAAATAAGTAAATTTCTCCTTAAATTTCCTTCTATACACAAAATACACAATTTTGAGAAGGCCCAATTTGTGCTCCGGGGATCCTCTGGCCTCCTCTCTTTTTTTTTAAGTGTATTCACATCCTCTGCGACAGCAGAAAATGATTATGATACAATCAAGAATGTGCCAAAGGCCAAGGCCAACTGCCCCCCACCCCACCCCACTGGCCCGGCCTTGCCCTTTTCAAAAAAATCACGCTCTCCCTCTTTCCAACCCCCCCACCCCTTCCCCCCCACCCACCGAAGTAACTGTCCACCACTGATATGTACACCACAATTCAGAATTCGTATTTTCTGCAAAATGTATCAAATTTCTTGATCTCTTACTAAAATGTTTTATTATTTTCATTGAATTATTCCTGATGAATAAATACCAAAGAAAAGAAATCATAATAAAATTAGAAACTAAAAGTTATGTAGCAGCTAATTAAGGTAAGGCTGCGATATCCACTTTTTCCCCCTCTGGGGAATCTGAATGCTTTTCTTTCTTTTTATTTTTATTTTTTTTAAAAAAGATGCTTTTGTTCTGGGCGTGGTTCTGTTTTCTTTTGATTTTTTTTTTTTTGCTTGTGTTTTCATTGGTTAGTGGCAAACAAGGAGTGATTGCTGAAAAGCAAACATAACATCCGCTTTTTTTTGTCTGATTCATTAGAATTGTCTCCAAAGTTTTCACCGAAACGTTAATCGAAAAATAAAAAATCAAAATCAAAATCATTGCACAGAGACATCAATATTGTGAAACACTATGAGGTTCAAGAGACAGCCAAGCATGGTCCAGCTCCAAAACGTGACACTTGGTGGGAGGGGGGGGGCCCTGATGGAGTAAAAATATACAGGCACTAAGTCCGACGTGATGTCAGTAAGAGACAGAAAGAGAGAGAGCACACCCATTAGGGGAGGGGGAGGGGAATGTTGGTTTGAGATATTTTTTGTTGGTTTGCATTTTTTTTTTTAAAATGGCCAAAGAAATTTAATCTCATCTGTAGTCCTCCTTAGGAAATTCTAATGTGACCAAATTTCCAAAGCCCATTCGTAGGCTCTCCATGTCAAAAGTTTCAATCTCCCGCTCTTGCCTTTCCAACAAAACCTTGATCTTCTCGCTACGCTCCTTCTGCAGGGCGGCCAACTCCTCTTCAATCTGAAAGGGAAGAGATGGGGAAGAAGGTGAGATGGAGGGCTGGAGGCCCTTGGGAGGTGCCCCTGTCCCTTGAGAGCTGTACCAAACAGAAGGGCCACCCGTTTCTCGTCTTTCGTTGATGGCCGATGCAACCAGGAAGGAATGGCTGCAGGCAGGACAGAGAGGGACACATACAAGATGTCCTCAATTCCTCCCTTGCTTTCTGAATTGTCCTTTGCATGTCTCTCCAACCCCGTCCCACCCTGACCCCACAGCTCTCATACTAGATGTATGCCCAGCTTGAACGTACGACAGATATACAGAAGATTGGAGTGGGATAGTGGCATTTACAAAGGATGAATAGCATGTCAATGAAGAAATCAATCCCTTATAGGTGGGGAATCCCCATGGTGCTTGAAGACCCCCCCCTTTTTTTTTAGTCCTGGGACCTCCCTATTCTGAAAAGTTGGGTTTCTCTTTCATAAAGTCTCTATTTCAATTTTATAGATGACCTAAATTAGAAGGGTTTTAATAGGATGGAGAGCACTTATTGTAGTTCACAGTCTTGTTCGGTGATTCGTACTGTGCTGACTGTGATTCCTGATATTTATGCTTAGGTAGAGTAAGAGCAATTTTTAGGCTTTAAAAACAATATATTCAGCTATTCACAATCGTTAATGATACACTGATGGACGACTGAAGATGGGCCATCAAGTCATTTTCAACTCCTAGCAACCACATACATAGATTTTTCTCCATAACGATCTACCCCGAACCTAATGATACACTGGAAAACTCTAAACTCTGTGACATTTGTTCATCCCTTGTTTATCCACTTGTATGCTATTTGTATGTAGAACACTTGCTGGAATGCTTGAATTGCAACCTTAACTTTTCTTCTAATAAGCATTACTAATCAGGGAGATGTTGTTCTTTTTGCCTTTACTGTTTCCAATCCAGATTGCTCGGGGAGATACCTAAATAAATAAGTTGAGGAAGGCTGGTAGACCATGATGAGTTGCAGATCTCTAGGGTGTCCAACATGTATTTATCCTTATAGACGGAACTCAAGACTCTTTCTGCAAAGCACTTATTCTTCCCCAACACTATGGCTTTTCTCTTCTGCCTTATCTTCTTTTAAAAATGTCCACGGGCAAGACTGCTGTAGGCTAGGAACATCTGCAAGGTTATTGTCCTTCTGGATTCTTTTACTCCGACAGCAAACTTCTCTTTCTAATCTTTACCACAAAACTACTATTCTGATTTAAAATCGGGGCTCCCTTTGCTTCAAGGTACACAGAAGAACATCACCCAGTCTTAATTTCTGGAAATGTATGATTCCAGATCAGCTTTACCCTTCTGAACTAGGCTTTCTGATGGATCTGGAGATGGAAAACCAGGTTGCCAGCTGACACTGAGAAAACAGAGGGCAGTCTGGGGGATGTCATGAGCTGAAGAAGGAGAATCATTAAGTCCCCTCACCACTTTTGTGTAGTTGATAACTAAATGGGTTTCCTTAATGGATTCTGATGACTAAAAAACGTGCTTGCTCAAAATGGACACTGGGGATTATGGATAAGCAAACCAACGTGTTTTGGGCAGAACTATGGAGAGAACCATCTTATTATCTGGACTGCAACCAGCAAAAGTGGCAGAGATCTAACTCTTTTTGTTTACTAGCTGGCCAAGAAGGAGGAACCTTCATCTGGGGGTGTGAGGGATGCAGTGATTTTGGAGCAACCTGCCACTTTGAAGGCATGCCCTGTTTTTCAGCGCACCTTTCTGCCCATCTGTTGTTCAAGATATACAAATATATGTAATCTAAAAGCCACTAAGGTTCTGTCCTTTATATGTTAGGAACTGTCTATGTAAAATGTTCTTAGAGCCTCTTGCTAATCTGGGATATGACCAAGCGACACTATTGTCATGGCTCAGGATTCAGACACTGAC